TCTTATCGAGGGTTTTGAGCCGCAGCTCTGATACCAACTTTCACGGGTTACCTTTCTTCTTAGCACAGAAAGGGACACCGTGCGGCAGTAGTCTGCTCCGCTAGACTACCTTCCGCCTTTCCTCGTTCGTTCCGGGACGAAAGTAAATTTGATCACAATTTAAAGAAAGTTTACAACACGAAATTGAAATGCATTGAAATAAACTTGATCATTGATTGCTTGAAAGCTGAACATTACATTAGATGAAAGCAGGAAATTACAATGGCTAGTGCAGGTGACGAACACTAGAAAGTTTGAACGATTTTTGAAAGACTAATACCCCCTATAATAGACTTAGCAACAAAAACCCAAATGACACCAGTAGACGTCTTTTGGCCGAGGAATCATACTAAAATTTTCTAATTATCAACTATTTTACAATTAAATGAAATATTTACAAAGTGCAGCCGAGTGCAGCAACTGCAATACCGTCACGGGGCTTAAGTAAGGCTGATGCCCGTGACACTACGGATGGCAAGGGGTGGGTGGAAGTCGGGGTAATCTCTCCCGCCTCACGGAATAATTTATCATTCCGTACCCGTTTATAACTAGGCAAGGTAGGGTCTTGCCTTGTTTACTGCTCTGTTTAATTTTTTTTCTTTTTTGTCAACATCCATTAAAATGAGACTAATATATTTATTAATTTTTTAATTAATTAATTTATTTTTAAAAGTTAAATTATTTAGATGTATTTGGTGAGTTAAAGTTTTTATTGTTTGGCATATCCTTTAGACAATTTTAATTGTCATCTTCTATTAGGACTAATGAATTTTCGTGAAAATTTTCATTTAAAGTATTGAATTTTTTTAAAAAAAAGATTAAAAATTAAACGGGACGAGGCCCTTGTTACTCGTACCTGCCCCCGGGGCGAGGTGCTTTGCTCCGTCCCCAACCCAAATACCCGATTACGCGCGCAACATCTAATTGAAAGTCGTAAAAATAAAAACAAACCATACAGGTGATGCTAGTGCAACACCTGTAACATATCTGTAAACAATGCCCCTGTACAAGAGGAATTGTTCAAGAATTAATTTGTTGGTATATGTTTAGTCGTTACTTTATCATTTTATCTAAAATTAGATTTCGTGACTAATGTTTTTCAACGTGAATCTATGTAGACGTTATTGAGTATAGAAATATACCAAATAGTGAAGTTTTTCCATCAAACTTTTTAGGATGGAATGGCAACCCTAGTGACAGAACTGAGATTTTAATTAAACTTTAATTAATATAATGAAAAAGAAAAAAAATATTGATACAAGCTCATTATTCCCTTCTTTGACAAAGCTTTTTGAGATTATTAGTTCATAGGTTATATGAAATATGTAGTTAAAAAATTGATAAAAGTTGTAAACCAATGAAATATGTGATTAAATAAAATTTGATCAACATATAATTTCAAAAAAGCTATATCAAATGGGAGCAAAATATATGACTTTTATATTTGACATTACTTTTTGTAAATTTCGTAGAAAAAAGAGTTGAAAGAACAGTGTTGTCTACGACAAGATAAAAGCTCAAAAAACATCACTACAAAATTATTAGTTGCCCAAGATGTGAGAAGTTGCTAACAAAAATATTTTTAGACCATGTTTGATGGTGATTGAAATCAGATTTTAGTATATTTTGATAGAAGTTGCTAAGATTTGTGGTTAAGAAGTTGTGGGACCTATCAAATACATGGTTAAAATAAATTGTTGACTTTGAGTTAAATTAAAATTACCAAACAAGGCTTAATATATATAAACAAAATGATTCGTTCCAAATTTCTAGACCCCTGATTGAGTTTTCAAGGAATTTTACCGTCCAATTGGTATGGCTTTTGAAAAGTCAAAATAAGTTTTTGAGATTTAAAAGCTACTTTTGAATATGTTTGACTAATTTTATTGAAGTGCTTCTGTTAGTTATAAGAGTTTTTGTAACCTGTTTGATCCCTATTTATTTCAAAATATATTTTTCTCTATCTTCTTTTCAACAAGACATCTTTTAATAAAATAATATTACACACAATTCAAAAGCTTTTCATTTACTTTTAACCACATATTCTCATCATTCTACTTTTCCAAAATGCATTTTACACAAAAAAAAAAAAGGGGAGCTCAAACATGCTCTTAGAGAAAGTTGGTCAAATATAACTTCTTCTAAAAGTACTTAAAAAAATTAGTTCTAAAATAAAAATTAAGATGACTTCTTTCAAAAACTCTTTTATAAAAAGTAAAAATAATGCCAAATGGATCTTAAGAATGTTTAGAGGAAGTTGGTCTATGATAGTATTTTGAGGAAGTTCTACTCGAAGAAACAGGAGCAAAAGCATCTATCCAGCCAAACAGTCCCTTTGGCCTAACAGACAAAAAACTCACAATTCAAATGCACACTTATCATAGGTTAACTTTCACCGACCTTCTGCTTCTGCCCCGTGAACTCAGGGTTAGCAGTTTCCCAATTTGAAATTATCAATACATATGGGGCTTGAGTTAATTGTTTCAATGGTCACTGAACTTTATAAAGTGTCACGTTTCACTCACTGAACTAAGTAAAACTGCATTCCATCACTCACTTGGCTAATTTCGTCTACACCATTTGCAGTCGTGGACGACGGCATTGACATTTGGCCGTCAAATGACTCCAACTCAACAGTGATCAGCCATGTCATCCCCAAACATGTCTCTTCAACGGTCACTGAACTTTACAAAGTGCCACGTTTCACTCACTTAACTTTACGTTGCACCCAATCACTCACTGAACTTAGTGAGACTGTACTCCATCACTTACTGGACTAATTCCGTTTACATCGTTTGCTGACGTGGACGGCGGCGTTGACATGTGGTTGTTAAATGACTCCATCTCGACAGTGAATAACCATTTCATGAATTTCCAACAAAACATAACACACGCATGCAAATGAAATGATAAACATTAGCCATTACAAGTACTCACAAGTTTTCTTCTCTCCTCCGAAGCGTGCCTGCCTGTATCAATTAGCTCCAAATGTCCCTCGTACCAATCTTTGAGATGGGAAAAAATGATCAGTTGAAAAACCTGCCCACTAAGTGCTATCATCACTGTGGATCCTGGATTAGTCCTCAAACCCCAGTCGCATACGACCTTAGTGACCCAAATTGTTCTTTGATAGTCTCGTTAATCAGTTGTTTAGCATATCTTCTCGCCTTCCAAGCTACATTTTTAGTAATATTTATCTTCAAATCCTCCTTATTGTAGCATGCATACTTTTTGTTTTCTACTCTAGATCTGCGTTGAATTGTTCAATGTACCGATGGACTATGAAAATGTAGTTACAATAACGATTGTAACGATCCCTACTACATGTGTATTGAAGCGTATATGACTTCACTTGAACTCTATCAAGATGGAGTCATTTAACAGCCACATGTCAACGCCGTCGTCCACGTCTGCAAACGGTGTAGACGGAATTAGCCCAGTGACTGGTGGAGTACAGTTTTACTAAGTTTAGCGATCTTTGAAGAGACTGTTTGGGGATGAGATGGCTGATCACTGTCGAGTTAGAGTCATTTAACGGCCAAATGTCAATGTCGTCGTCCACATTTGCAAATGGTGTAGACGGAATCAACCCAATGAGTGATGGAGTGCAATTTTACTAAGTTCAGTGAGTGATAGTATGCATCGTAAAGTTCAGTGAGTGAAACGTGACGCTTTGTAAAGTTCAGTGACCGTTGAAACAATTAACTCTATGGGGCTTTGTATTCACTCTTTCCTTCAAATGGATCGAACTATTTACATTCTTCAGTTTCAAAGATATTCTGGAGTGGATCAAAAATAGACATCATTGCCATGATCTATGGTTTGGAATTTCAATTCCCAATTTCAGATCAAAGTGTTGTGAAATTGAGCTACATTTTTACCAATTGTTGTTCTTCATTTTGGTATTTGAAGTTTGAACTATAAATAGCTGAAATTTTCATTGTATAGGGCAAATGAGGACACAAATCGCTTTAACCTCTGGCCAAGATTTTGAATCTTGAAACCCCATTTTACTCAAAACAAGACTTCAATTTCTATTTGAACAGGTAAATGGGATCGTCTAGGTTTTTCGTTATCTGCATGCTACACTCACTTATAGCTTTAACTTGTGGTGGTTTGATAATGTTTTACCTCAATGAAATCTTTGTTTTTGGACATGGAACTGAGACAACAATGAAGTTGTTAGGTTCAACTTCACATGATTAGTTGTTGATTCAGATTTCTGATTCATTTGCTGGGTTACTTTTGGTTGTGATTAGGAGTTTGCTGTTCATGGTGGCTTTTATCAAGGACAGGGAGTTCCAATGCATTTTTGCTAAAGGGTGTATTCTTGTTCATCTCTCAATGGCCCTCTGGAGGGTGTACTTTGAGAGGAGACTGGATGATTTAGCTAACGATTGGCCAAGGAAGCTTGTTGGTGATTTTGTGCTTGCACTTTCATGGGTTTTCTTTCTTGTGTATTCGTGAAGGGAAAAGTATGATTAGGTTTATCTAGTATCCAACTCTCCTATTATTTTTTGTACCTTCAAAATCAATTGCAACTTATGTGACTTGAGAATAACTTTTCTCCCTGTGGCTCACTTAAAAGAGAATCTTAAGTAGCCCCATCAAGGTACTGAAAGGAGCGGCAATGAATCGTGTCGAGTCGGATCGATCTATAGACACCTGAGCTTGACGACTCGTGCCCTAATTTTATGATCGGCTTGGCCCTCTGGCTCGTGGATATCACGAGCCGAGCCACCCACGTGCCTAAATGAGTCGAGACACCATGAGTCCAAATGAGTCAAGCTGCCCAAGAAAAAAGTGTGAGCACGACTCGGTCCATGGTTCGTCTTATAATGAGCTCTAGCAAGGATGAGCAGGCTCTCGAGCAGTTCAACTCATTTGCCATCACTAGGAATCAAGGATTATACCCAAAAAAAATAAATTGAGGGTTAACTTAACTCTGTCCCGTCTTGTTTTCACACGAGTCCAAGTTAACATTCTTTAACAAATCCATGCATCTGGTATCTTATCTTTGTAATGATCTCAAAGTTGGGATCTTTATCTATCTTGTGTCTTTAGATGCAGAATATTAGTTTAGCATGTTAGGTGGCCATTTTTTAAAAAAACATTGTTTTGAATAGTGAATTTTCGGAGAATGCGTGATTAAAAATTAAAAGAAAAATTTGAATTTATTAGTAAAATATTTTATTTTGTAATTGTATGGTTAAAAATAAATATGTAAAAAAAAAAGAGTTTTGAAAAAATGATAGTCAAACGGGGGCTATATATCTTTTTCGTTGTTTCTTACTTTTTAAGCACCTTTTCTTGTCATTGTCCAATTCTTACAAATTACTTTGAACAGATTATAAGTTAGGATCATGCTCAAGTTCTCCAAACATTCAAGATTTGTGCACAAACAAACATGACCTAAATATGTCTACACGTGCCAAGAAGCGCGTCCAACTGAACTCTATTCTTCATGATAAAGTTCCCCCTAGTGGCCATACCTGCCACAGTAGAATCAGAAGTGTATTACCAAGAACTCATCAAATGCAAGCACAACCCATGGCACACAAATTCACAGGAAAAGCAGAAGAAGAATCCTATTCCTCCATGTTACTCATAAAGCTTATGAGCAAAAGAAGAACATGGGTTTGTCTATTTGTAGCTGTTTACACAATTTTACTATCCCTTTCTTGGAATTTTTTAAAATCTGTACTATCTTGGTATGAATCGACCATGTTTAGGTCAACTCCTGCTTCGGGGTGGACAGTTTTGTGTGTATCGGTGGTTTTGGGGGTGGCGTTTGGGGTTCTGTCGGTGGTGACCGCCTTGGCCGTGGCGGTGCCGGCAACTCTGGTGACATGGATCACTGTGCTTGTGCTGTTGACTTTTTGTGGGAAGCCCAGAAGGAATTTAGTGGTGGAGGGGAGGAAATTGACGGCTGAGATTATTGGGTTTGTAGTTAAGGTTTTGATTAGGGAAGGGAATGTTGTGGCTGCGATTTGTGCTGTTCTTGGGTATTTTGTACTTTTTAGGAGAAGTAAGGAGGTTGATGGGTCAGATTTTGAGTGATGAGCATAAGGTTTTGGTTTTTGGGCACGATTCGAAGCTCGAGTGCAAAGGTAAAACGGAGCTTGATTGCACGATCTAGTATCATTTGTCGAGAATAGTGTTTTAAGGGCATAAATCTAGATCTAAATTTCGAAACTCGTCTCGTGTCCATCAGCGATTAATATCCGGTTTGAAGGATCTCATTCGACAAACATGTCACTCGAAACGATGCTCGACATGATCCGGCACCGATTTGAACCTTGAGAAACTTGGGAGGAAGAAAATTGAAAATTTTGTAGGCACTGTGTAAATTTGTTGCAGTGTAATAATTTATTTTTTTGTTGTTGTAAAAAGGAAGTGAAAATATGAGTTGCTTCTTTCTAAAGATTGTAGAAATGTGGTAGGGGCAAGTAACTTGGTTTTGACATTGATCGTCCAACTAATATTTCATTCTTATGCTCTTGCACATTTCTTTGGAGTATGTAGACATGGCTGAATTATGTTGTAAAGAACGAAAATGTTGTGCATGCTTCTCCAATTTGATGATTCTTTAATGATTTTTAATCCCAAACATGACCTTGTTGACCTCCGAACCTGATTGAGACTTGACGGGTCGACATATCTGAAATTGGTTTTCAGATTTTGACTGAACTCGCCGTTATGAACCTTTGCAATGGTTTAATTCGACCCGCTTTACACTTCTGAGTCGAGCATCCGGAAATATTATGTCGTAGAAACTCTAGCCAGTGTCCTCTCCTTTCATTTTGGCATTATGGCAGGTATGTAGATGCTTGTTCTAGCGAATTAAATATGCTATGGATTAGTCACTTGTACTAACCAATTTTGCCACGAATCATTAACTATACTCTCGTAAATTTATTCAAATTTTTAATCTGATACAGAGACGACAAGTAGTAAAGGACGTGCAATCTTTCGTTCTTGCACAAAGACTTGCGCTTGATTAACGAAAGTAACATTGCAGTCATTCCAAAGGAAGAACATAAGAAAATATTTTGTCTAATTCTTGTTGGGAATGATTTGTTCTTAGGTTTAGGCCTTACCTTTCGAGGGACCAATGTTAGGTAAAACCAATAATTCACCATTGCTTGCTGTCGGCGGCAATTGAGTTTTACTTTAGATGGTGAGATTTTTGGGTTGATGAATCTATGGATTAAGTTTAGTAAATAAGTTTATTACTTAGGTTTTCGGTAATTTTTTTTCTTTGAAGCTTATAACTTACCTTTGCCAAATTAGACATAAAGGTCGATGTTGGATAAGAGTTTTACCTTTTTTTTATCAAAATAATACGTGTCTTGCACATAATCTGTTTTTTTTTTAAAAGACATGTTCACGAATCTTCTTATACCATTCTCTAAAACAAAATAAAAATAAAATAAAAAAAATCTTTTAGGTAAATTGAAATGAAGAGATCTACAGCGGGGTTTACCAAATACTCAATTAAAATATTTTTCCTGTTTTGTGATTAGATGATGTGTTCAAATTTGTGTGTGACCAAAATTTCGTGTTGAAGTAATTGAATACTTTTAATTGAAATGTATGTCAAGAAGAATTTAGTTTGGAATACTATTAGAGTCCTATGTCAAATTGAAATTCTATTTTGGAAACCAATTAAAAGTTCGAAATTGGTATTGGACTTGAAAAAGAGTTCGGGATGGAGAAAACAACAGAACGGTAGTGCCACATGTACCTATACCGGTTCCTATTTTCCGCTTTTTTTCTCCTTTTTTGTTTTAGACTCGATTTTTTGGCATTTCACTTCATCAACAAATCTACTAGGAAGGTTTGGACGTCTCATACATGTTCCTTATAAATATTATACTCTTCTATACAATTTTTATAATATGAGAAAATAGATTAGTGGAACTTTAGGATCAATTATATATTTCTCTATCATTATTATTGGTACAATAAAATCTCATAATTCCCTGCCATATTTTCTTATTTTATTTTATTTTTTCGCTTGTGATCAAATACTTCATTATTGTGCCATAAAACTTTAACATCCCAATCCGATAGTTGATTTTATATCAAGTGATAACGAGCAATATGTGATCATTGAATTCTCAACAATTGGTATTAGTAATTCTGAGCGTAATTAACACAATAAAGGGTATCAGAGAGATTCTGATATCTTGTTTGTTTCACAGCATGATGTAATGTACTTGCAATCGGATTCAAATTGTTTGGTTATGAAGATAAGTCACATAAATTGAAAAACATATAATGAACACATTCACGATACTGGGCCTGATTGATTTTTATTTTTTGAACAGTGATTTTGTGAAAAATGAATTTTATTAAGAAAACATGGTTTCC